ATATTTTTTTAAAAAATGTGTATGTTGGTAGCACTTCCTCATGGATCCGATTTTCATTTCAGCCTTTACTTACTTTCTGCCCCCGCAGGATGGAATTTCCTGTCACAGCTTCTCTTCCCATCAGCGCTTCCCACTCAATTTCCCACTTGTTTATCCATCTGGCTTCTTACCTACTTAAGGGCAGTATTGCTGTCCTGCCAAGCTTTGCAGTGAATTTGTTTTTCAGGCAGATCTTTGAACCAGAAGAATGTAGAAGAATCCATACTATCTTCTGGGAAAACGTGGCTCTCAGGTGATAAGAAATAGCTTTATTAGAGGGGACCCTGGTTGGGCAATAACTTTGAAGGTCAGTGGTAGATACAACTTGATGTTTATTTGTCAGCCTTGGAAGTACTTTCCCATAAGTATAAAGTGGATCAAGCCTGCAACCAAGGTGCATGCCCTTGGCTGGAATCAAACCCACAACCCTTCAGTCCACGGGCTGACGCTCTACCCACTGAGAAAACCAGCTACAGCTGTAAGAACGCCTTTGAAAATATATTCTAAAGCAGCTCTGAAGAGAGAGTCTGAATATTTAGAAATATGTGATCAACTGTATTGGTCAAGGTTTCCCATGCCTGTCAGTACAGGCAGAAACACAAATCAGGGCATGGGCATTCATGGCTGGTTCCCTTTCACCCTGAAAATATTCATTTACCCACTCTCACCTGTTCAACTGTGAACCATGCAGATAAAGAGAATAAATAATATATAATTACATGGGATCAATATGTAAATACATTAGTGTTAGTAATAATTTTGCTGACATTAGAGTTAGGAAACTGAAGATGATTTGCATTCTACATACAAAACTACTCCAATAAAATTTACATGAAGGGTTATTGGGGGAATTGAATTAATATTTAAAGCACTTAAAAGAGTTCCTGCCCAAAGTAAGAACTCATATTAATAGAGAGAGACAGATCGTTAATTTAAAATTAGCTAATTAGATATCAAGTGTTCACTAGCGTTTCTATCAGGGGGAAGGGTGGTGCGGAGCAACAGACCTGGTTGTGCTACTTTTAAAAATACAGTGGGGCCTTGACTTACAAGTTTAATTCGTTCCGTGACGGAGCTCGTAACTCAAATTACTCGTATGTCAAATCAAAAAGTGAACGAGTGAGACACGTGATGCTGGGCTGATGTGGCGTTCACTGTGACGTTCACTGCGCCAACTAGCGGTGGGGTATCTGAAGCTGGCTCATAACTCGAATTTTAGCTCGCAACTCAAAGCAAAAAATCGGCCAAGAGACGGCTCGTATCTCGAAAAACTCGTTAGTCGGGACACTCGTAAGTCAAGGCCCCACTGTACTTTATTTTTCATGGGGAAGTAGCAGCAGCCTGGAGTCAACATGGTGCCTAGCTAGTCTTCTGTAATCTATTGGAAACTTGTCACTGGCCTGATTCTCTCTGCCTCCACAGAATTCATTAATACCACTCATTTCCCTTTGCATTCTTCTTTGCTTCCTGTGAATTAGTTTTGTTAGGAAGACTGAGTGACTATAAATTCCTGCCAGCGTAGGTGATGTTTATTACTATTATTAGTATTATTATTACTATTATTATTATTATTGTGGTGGGTGTTATTTTCTCTCTAGTCCTCAAGATTATACAGGGCAAAAATACTCAATTGATAACATTCTTACATGGATATTTCCAGATTACATGAGATCACCCTGTTTTCTTTTATAACTGTATTTGCCCCACAAAGTATGGCAAGTCCCTGTTCATTTGCCGTTTGAAAAGTGATGGTAGATTAAGAAAAAAGAAAAAAAAGGGGAGGGGGAAAGCAATGGTACTTCATCTTCTACTTGACTTTGGACATTATTGTAGGATACGACGTTATCTGGCATCCCCTTTGTAGTTTTGTAAATCACCAGCGCACATCATAATTCTAATGTGTCATTCATATCTCATTTTTATATCCTACAAATATGTGAATTTTACCAATTGCTATAGATGAGAGGGAAAAAATCACAGGAATCTTTCTGGGGATTCTACTGACTTCTAAGTAGAATGAATTTCAGATACTAGAGACGTTATTTCTAGCACTTAAATGTATTTCGCGTCTATTTGTCATTAAAAAAAATAAGATGAAAGGCTTATTCGTATTCTCTCTCCTAGACGGAGACAGCTGTTTGTTCTGTGTACAGCAGGTGTCCAATAAACGGTTTGGGTGACTGTCAGTGGTGACTCTTAATGACTTTATCATGAAGTAATTATTCATGTGTTATGTTAAAACCATGTTTCTTAGAAATAACCCCATGATGGTTTTCAGCTGACACAATTATGTACACTTTGATAGAATTAAATTCTATTTTAAGCTATCCTTTACTGCGAATATAATTTACTGATTTGGAGACTTTCAGAATAGCATCAGAATGAACAATGGAAAGAATTAAAATATGCATGCCCACGAAACAATCAAGGCTTATCAAACGTGTTCACGTAAAAGACGACAATGAAATGAATGATTAGTTTTCAAAGTAGTGGCATCTGTTCTGAGACTACTCCCAGGATACTCCCCAGTCCCAGGCATCAGCTCCTTTATTCAGAAGAGCGGAACTCTCAAAAGAGACATATGGGACCAAACAAAGCGTAGGGTTCTGTGGAATTGGAATTTCAAAATGCATTTCTTATTTGTATCCCTGCTTTCTTAAAAAGATGCCTCGAAGCATATCAAATGGACATATGCGCAAGTATCTTTCCTCAGAATCACTTGCGCTAGGGTGTCATCATTTCCTTTGGTTTTACTTTTCCTTCTGCTAAAAGTCTATACCTGCAATGTCCCAAAGAGGCCACGACTCTGCATGTGTTTGTTGTAGAAGAAATAACAACCCTAATATCCATGAATATAATTTTCTGTTACGTTGTTAAAAAGTTGCATATTCTAGCGTTGAAGTAGCTTGGATCTGACTATCTAGCTAGCCCTAACACATGGAATAAATATAAATTAATTGCTCTAACCAGGTATCTGAATTAACGTGGTTCATTTACCAAGTGAGAAATGACACATTTTAAGAAGTGCTAATGACAATATGGTACTCTGATAGAGATGGTGCCTACATGCAAAGAACAAGTGTTAACACACCTCGTCCAAATTCCGTTGAATGGTAATGATAATAGTAATAGCCATAATGACATTTGAAAATAACCATGTTTTTTAAAATATATATTTTTATTGAATTCAGATAGGAAAGGAGAGGGAGAGATAGAAACAACAATGATGAGAGAGAATCATTGATTGATTGCTTCCTGCAGGCCCCCTACTGGGGATTGAGCCCGCAACCCGGGCATGTGCCCTGACCAGGAATCGAACAGGTGATGTCCTGGTTCATAGGTTGACACTCAACCACTGAGCCATAGCAGCCAGGCTGAAAATAACTGCTTTTGAATTGGGTCTTTAAAACTAACCAGATTAGCATTTAAAACAACTGCTCATACTATCATAGACTTTTAAAGGTACATGAGACTATCGTCAGGAAATCTCTATCTCATTTACAAAGGGGGAAACTAAGGCACAGAGAGGCTGGGGTTTAATGCATACCATAAAACTTCATAATGGGTAGAAAAATGACTAAAATGTACTCTGAGACTATCATCAGGAAATCTCTATCTCATTTACAAAGGGGGAAACTAAGGCACAGAGAGGCTGGGGTTTAATGCATACCATCAAACATGTACTTCCTGATTATTTTCAACAAAAATATTTTCAATAAATACTAAAAGCAACAAAAAGTTCATGTTCTAAGTCCAGTTTATACTATTTACTTCAGATATAAAAGGAGAGATGAGGGAAAGGTTCAGCTATCATATTTTAATATTTTTAATGTGATAGAATATGTAACATTTGTCATTATAATCTTTTTAGCTGTACAATTCAGTGACATTAACTACATTCCGAATGTTGTGCAACCATCACCACTATCTTGTCTCCAAAAAGTTATCATCTCCCCAAACAGAAATTCTGAAGTCATTATGCAATAATTTTGCATTTCCCCCTCTAGCCTCCCCTGGTGAATTCTGATTTATTTTCTGTCTCAGTGAACTTAACTATGCTAGAGAGTTCACATGAGTGGGATCACACCATATTTGTGTTTTAACTCACATATTTTCAAGGTTCCTTTGCATTGTGGCATGTATCAAAACTTCATTTATTTTGATGGCCAATTGTGATGTTTCTACCTTTTGGCTATAGTCTCAACTGTCTTTTTGTTTTTGGATAATTAGTAGACCTTTTAGATTATTATTTATTTTCCTGCAGCATCAACTTTTGTTGCTACTGTTGGTTAATCAGACATTTGAAAATAAGATGATTTCAGGCATGATAATTAGTACAACAAAGATGAGAGTCAATATTGGAGCTTTAAATGTTTTTTATTTTTCTCTCTTTAGTATTCTTTTATGTTTTACACTATTATATCAAAACAAATTGCAAATGGTTAAAGTGAATAATCAGAGTATAGAGTTGAATCTTATAATTTTCTATTTAAAAAAATTTTCCCTCTTTAAATATTAATAAATGTGCTTCACAATACTATATATATATTCTATACTAAGTTAATAAACATTTCTGAAAATATTTCTTTGCCATAAAACACTTGGAAAGGCTTATTAATACTACTGACAAAAATGAAGGATGAATTAATGACCACTACCTATGGAGAGAGTTCATTCAAAGACCATCAAAAGGAGAACATGAAAAAAAAAATAAGTTTAGCTTCAATTTTCTGACCAAATTATTGTGTCTTCTTCCCTGAAAGTTCTATTTTAAAGGGAAACCAAGAATAAAGTATTATTAAAGCATCAAAACATCTTTCTATTCATTTGCTACACATCAATAATAAATTGCATGGATTCATTTTTTTTTTAATATTAACATGTGAAATGTGTTTTGGAGGAAAAGGAAGATAATTGTTTATAATTAACGTATTGGATTTTCACGATTTTTTTTCCCCCAGATGAATTCAAGTTCTTTATGAAAAGGCTGCCCATGAATTATTTCCTCAACACGTCTACCATCATGCACTTGTGGACAATGGATTCTAATTTTCAGCGCCGCTACGAACAACTGGAGAACAGCATGAAACAGCTTTTCCTGAAGGCGCAGAGAATTGTGCACAAGCTCTTTAGCCTCAGCAAGAGGTGTCACAAACAGCCCCTCATCAGCCTGCCAAGACAAAGGTAAGACATTGGTGGCGATGAAGACAACTGGCATTGTTCTCCCAGGGGGCTCTGCTTATGTCTGAACACAGGTGTGTGATACACAGTGTTATTCACATGATAGGCAATCATCAGAAAACACAGTATGATCTCAGGTCTCAAAGTCATAAATTGCGGTTACTTTCCAAAGTAATAGAGTACGTGAGGAACATACAAACCAACACTTCCTAATTTTTTTCTTTTATTAAAAAATATTTTTTACTTTCATAGAAGGGAGAGAGAGAGAGAGATAGAAACATCAATGATGAGAATCATTCATCAGCTGCCTCCTGCATGCCCCCTACTGGGGATCCTGCCTGCAACCCTGAGCGGGAATCGAACCATGACCTCCTGGTTCATAGGTTGGTGCTCAACCATTGAGCCATGCCAACCAGACTTTTTTCTTTTATTGTTACAATTGAGAAGTCAAAATAACTTGGTATGTGTGGTAGTCAACTAAGAATTGTATCACAGTGAATACAAAAACACAGAGCCTTATGGTTAAATTGAAAGCATTAGGATAAGCAGGGCCACAGAGTGGAATTTCTTTGTAATTTTGAATTAAAAGAATTTAAAGTTTATGTTCTTTGATTAGCGTTCAGAGTACCATAAGCCTTATTCAATGTGAATCTCTGAAAACTGCTGGAGAAGTTACTAATAATTTATGTGAATGATGACAGACTATTAAAATACTGTGTCTGAACTCTAATTTCGAGAAACACACTTTTTAGATTTGCTACTTTAAGATATATTGACCAGACAGTGCAATAAAAATTGTATTTATTTATTTGAAGTCAGATTAAAAATACATCAGAATGAAAAGTTAAGGGAAAATGTAGAATGATACCACAAAAAGTATGCATTTGCACTATCTCGGTAATAAAATGCTTGCATTTTGACTTGATGCTTAAATCATTAAGAGGAGAAATCTATAATTATAGATTTTTTTCCCTGAAAAAAAAAACACCTGAAAGTCTATACATTTTTCAAAATTCAATTTCAAAATCAATCATTGGCATTTTTTCCCAATTCATTGGATTTTAGGATATTCAAAATTTATGTCACCATCACCACAATCCAAGTTGAGAACCTTTTTATTCTCCCCAAAACAAACCTAGTCCCAATTAGCAGTAACTCCCCACACTCCCACACCCAGCCCTCGGCTATTTATCTCTAGAAACAAGACAAACCGGCTGTCCTGACAGCTTTACCTGGGTGGACATTTCTTACAAAGGCAGCCATGCACTGTGTGTCTTTGTGACTGGCTTCTTTCATTTAACACGGTGCTTTCAGGCTCCTCCACGTAGCGTGTATCAGTAGTATTGGGCCTCTCACATGTCATGTACTCATTCTTCCTTTGATGGACCTTTTGGTTCACTCTGATTTTTGGCTAGTGTGAATAACGCCGCCGTGAACATTCATGTATGTTTTTTAACATGGGGGTATGTTTTCCATTTCCTTGGGGATATACCTGGGAGTGAAATTGATGAGTTAAGGTAACTATACTTACCACTTTGAGGTGCTGCCAAACTGGTTTCCAAAGTGGCTGCAGCATTTTGTATTCCCATGAGTGACAGCTCCCCTACCCCACGTCCTCGCTGCTGTTGTCCCTCCTTTGACTGCAGGCGTCCGGTGGACCTGAAGTGGCTGTTCTCTTTCCCAGAGACGAATGATGCTGAGTATCTTGCATGTGCTAAGTGCTCAGTGGCTATTGCCTTGGAGAGATGTCTATTCAAATTCTTTACTTGCTTTTCCTTTGACTTTACTTTTGTTATTGAGTTGTTGTAAGAGTAGGGTCTCTCATCAGTTATATCATATACGAATATCTCCTTCCATGTCTTTCTTTCTTTCTCTCTCTCTCTCTCTCTCTCTCTCTCTCTCTCTCTCTCTCTCTCTCATCCATTTAAAGTGTGCCAATTTGGTTTCAAAGAACTAACTTTTGGTTTTCTTTGTATTTTATTTTTTTCATATTTAATTGATTTTTCCACTGTAATCCTTATTTCCTTCCTTCTGTTTGCTTATGTTTACTGTGATTTTTTTTACTTTCATAGAGAGAAAAGATAGGTTATGATTTAAGAACTTTCATTTTCTTAAAATATAAGCATTTCCAGCTATAAATACTACTCTGAGCACTGCCGTTTTGTTATTTTATGCATCCTTGAAGATTTCTTATTTCTTCTACACATAAGGTGCTTTTATATATAGCTGCCTGTGTACATTCCCAAGTAGAGAATCCCGGCTGGTGGGAGACACTGTTAGTTAAACATAATGAACGTCATGCTTCATGTGTGGGTTAAATACAGTTGGTAACCACTAAAGTAGATGGTTCTACCCATCAAACAAAAATGGGAAATAGAAGAGTCTGGTGGGTCCGGAAGCAAGTGAATGAGTTTGGTTATGCACATGTTGGCTTTACCGTAAGAAGTTGGCTTAACAAGTCTGGACAGAGCAGGATATTGACATCTGAAGCTCGGAGGAGGTCTGAGCAGGCAGGTTGGCGATCATGGGTGCTTGTGAAACCAGGAGATCTGAATTTAATATCGTGACAAATGTGGAGATAGAAACTGCGGGTGTATGTAAAGGGTGGGTGGAAAATGGAAACTTGTAGTGAGCAGAGAGCAGGGTATAATATAGGGTTGGACAAAAGTAGGTTGGCGATTGTTCACCTGTAAACCTACTTTTGCCCCATCCTGTGTAATATAAGAACCACGTTGCGGTATTGCTCAGTGGTAGAGTATCAGCCCGTGGTCCAAGCGGCCTTGGGTTCAATTCCCGGTCAAGGGCATGTACCTGGGTTGCAGGTTCCTTCCCCAGCCCTGGTCGGGGCACATTTTTCAGAGGCAACCAATCAATGTGTCTCTCTCACATCAGTGTTTCTTTCTCTCTGGCTCTCCCCCTCCCTTCTACTTTCGCTAAAAAAATCAATAGAAAAATATCTTCAGGTGAAGATTAATAAAAACAAAAAAAGAACCACATCCATGTCTAATAAAAACAATTTAAACATCCAAATTTTCCATAAAAGTGTTAGATGTTTAAGGGATGCATGAAAACATAAAACAATCCAAGTTGGATGTATACAGAATAAATAAATAGGCAACATAAAATAAAGATATATTATGTGGAACAACTTTCAATAAACTATAGGACTTCATATTTGATTTTAGTTCAAAAGTTTTAGAAAGCAAAGATCGCCACAGGCTTTTCTTGACTTCCTTTTTCCAATGCAGCATAACTCCTATGTTAGCTATTACTCCTGGCACACAACACACAGACTTCTTGCTAGATGCAAGATTTCATTGAATTTGGGTTTTTCCCCATGACCATTTTTCTTCTACTAGGAATGTGAGATATTGTTTCTGTTTTGTATTCTCATTTTAATAGAATATAAAATGACATTGGGAAAACTAAAAACCAATGTGTAGTATAATCAGTTTCTAGAATACAGTGGGGAAAAGTTTGGCTATTTGTGGGGTATGTTTCCAGAAATTTCCAAAGAAGTGGATAAGCAGCCCTAGCTGGTTTGGCTCAGTGGATAGAGCATCGGCCTATGGACTGAAGGGTCCTGCGTTTGATTCCTGGTCAGGGCACATGCCTGAGTTGCAGGCTCTGTCCCCAGTGTGGGGTGTGCAGGAGGCAGCCAATCAATGATTCTCTGTCATCATTGATGTTTCCATCTCTCTCTCCCTCTCTCTTCCTCTCTGAAATCAATAAAAATATATTTTAAAGAAGTGTCTAAGCAATACCAGTGACTCAGTTCCATTGCAAGTTCTGATTTTTGTCCTGCCTTTCTGATATTCTTCCCAGCTTTTTTTTTTTTAACTCATCACTGTAAGAACTGGATTTCAATATCTGATATTCTAAAATCTTGAAATACAAATAAAAGCAAACAAAATGCATCCTCATAAATAAAACGATTTCTGACACTTCCTGCATAATGGCAGGTAGGTTATTTTCCTACATTATGTAGTTTTTCTTTAAAATTCATTCTTCTTGGTAAAGCATGACACTCAGATTAACCCCTCCCCGCAAGTCTGCACTCCCATCACCACTGTTCCTCTCATGAATCTGTTACAGAATCCTCTTTCTCACCTGGGTAAACTGAGGACATTGGTGACTGGTTACCCTGAGGCAGTCACCTTTAGCTATCCTAAGACTTTTGAGATAAGTAACAATGACATTCATTTATTTATTAAATATATTTTTATTAATTTCAGAGAGGAAGGAAGAGGGAGAGAGATAAAAACATCAATGATGAGAATCATTGATTAGCTGCCTCCTGCACGCTCCTCACTGGGGCTCGAGCCCTCAACCTGGGCATGTGCCAATGACCAGATTGAACCTGGGACCCTTTAGTCTGCAGGTCGACCCTTTATCTACTGAGCCAAACCAGCTAGGGCAACAATGACATTCATTTAATTAAAGGACCATAATTACAGAAACTATTGAAAAGTATGCACAGATAATTCTTTAAAAAAATAACTCTACTATTTTGTGCAGCCAGGGATCCATAGAAATATTTCATTTATAGTCTTTTTTGTACACCTATAGCAACCAACTGTTTAAGGGGTAAATACCCCCAATCTTTAGCATGAAGCAATTTTGTGATATAAATATCTCCACCATGGCCAATTGCAAACTGTCAGTGTGATGTCGTTGAACATGGAGTGGTGAAGAGACAAGCACAATTGGCTCTTGCAGGTACCAACAGCCACTACAAATGAACATGTTTTTTAAAATATATTTTTTTATTGATTTCAGAGAGGAAGTGAGAGGGAGAGAGAAATCGAAATATCAATGATGAGAATCATTGATCTGCTGCATCCTGCACGCCCCAGTCTAGGGATTTGGCCCGCAACCTGGGCATGTGTCCTGACTAGGAATCGAACCCACAACCTCTTGGTTCCTGGGTGGACACTCAACCACTGAGCCACATGGGATAGGCTGCAACAGTTTTACAAGTTAGTTATAAGGTGGAATTTAAA